GCTGGGCTAAGGTAGCAGAGGAGTGAAAAAGGCTGCAGTTTTGACAGCGACAAGGGTCCCAGTCTTTCTGAACAGGGAGTAGATTCTATCTGACCCCCAGTGAGCTGTGCTGGAGCACCTATCAGATCCTGATAGCGTCTGTGAGAGTTGGTGAGTGTCCTGACGAAGCGGGATGAACCACACCATCTGGGCTGGGGATGGATGGGAACCCAGGTCCAGCTGAGTTATTGATTAAGGCGTGGAGACCTCGGGGCTGGCAATAGGTTCTGGCAGGGCCTTCGTCCTGAGCATCTTTCTTGACTCCAGGGTCCAGCCTCCTCCCGCGATAGAACTGCCATCCGGATTCCTGGTTCTCTAGACGGCTTCCAACAAGATGACCCTGAATGGCGGCAACGGAGGGAGCCGTGGCGCAGGCAGGGAGCGCGACCGCCGTCGAGGCAGCACACCCTGGGGTCCGGCACCCCCACTGCACCGCAGGAGCATGCCCGTGGATGAGCGAGACCTTCAGGCGGCGCTAGCCCCGGGCTCCCTAGCAGCGACTACAGCGGGAACTCGGACACAGGGGCAGAGGCTGGACTGGCCCGAAGGCTCCTCCGACTCGCTCAGTTCAGGAGGCAGCAGCTCAGAGGAGGGCGTTTACAAGGTGCTGCTGCTTGGGGCGCCTGGTGTGGGCAAGAGCGCTCTGGCGCGCATCTTTGGTGGTATAGAGGACGGGCCTGACGCAGAAGCCGCAGGTGAGAGAATTGAGCTGTTTAGAGAAAGATAGTTGTGAGACAGGGGACCTGAACTAAAAGTGGCAAACACTTTGGAATTTCAAGAATTTCAGAATCATATTACTTCTGCGTCCAAGATAGAGAAACGGCAGGGCCACCACAAATCCCTACTTAACTGCCTCCAACCTCCCCAACCCATGTGCCAGTCCTTGATAGGGAATAGAAGTTGAGTGTGGGGTATGACTTCTCAGTGGCTTGGGACAGGACATTCCTGCCTGCCAGAGCTGGCAGAAACGAAATCAGAAATTTCCAGGAGAGGAAAGCTAGGTGGCCAAGGACTCCAGGGGGAAGACAGCCACTATGCTAACTCCAGCCACTGTGATCACATCTACGCTGAACCTGGACAGCAGGAGTGCAGGGAGCCCTGGACATCCAGTACTTTGCTAATTTGGGGACATAGAGAGGGAGGTGGGGCATTCCATGCCCTCCAAACCCCAGCTCCCAGGCTTGTCATTTTGTTTGATCATAGCAACCATCTGCTAGTGGAGAAGAGTTATCAGGAGACTCTGAGAAGTGGGGGGCGTGGTCAGAAGAGGAACTGGACACTGGGAACTTTTGACAGGCAACTGATAACTTGGCTATTGGCTCCCTTCCTAGGGCACACATATGATCGTTCTATCACTGTGGATGGAGAAGAGGCATCACTCATGGTCTATGACATTTGGGAACAGGTAGGATTCAGTCTGGGTCACAGGGAAAGAGGGAAAGCAAAGCGGGGGAAGGATCTTGCTGGGAATTACAGGGTTGTGTGTGCATTTGTGTCCCCTCCAGGATGGGGGCTGCTGGCTGCCTGGCCACTGCATGGCCATGGGAGACGCATACGTCATTGTATACTCAATAACAGACAAGGGCAGCTTTGAGAAAGCGTCAGAACTTCGGGTCCAGCTAAGGCGGGCACGACAAACAGACAATGTGCCCATCATCCTCGTGGGCAACAAAAGTGACCTGGTACGCTCTCGTGAAGTCTCTGTGGATGGTAAGCAGGCATTGGGTCGGGAAAGGGAGGGAGATCCTAGCTGGGCTGTGGGCCAGTTAGTCTTGGCTCAGCTTGAGTCCCTGGGGATCATCAGTGGCTAAGAATGTTCAGGGAGAAAACTTGGTGTTGGAGGTTAGGGAGATGCTTTTGGTCCATCAGGCTCCCAAAGGCCTAAAACAAAGAGGAAGGGAGAACCAGATCTGCTAGAGCAACTAAGACATGCAACCACCCTCCTCTACTGCTCTTTGGGCTCATGCCTGACAGGAAACAAGAGTGAGAGTGTGGAAATGGAAGAACATATAGAGAATCAGGAGGTCAGGACCTGATTCCAGACCCCACCATTCTTCCTCATCAGGCTTCAGCATGCAGTACCTTTGTGGCATGCAGTACCTTTGTGACATGCAGTACCAAGTACTTCAAATTTGGTGACCTTGCCCAGTCCATTGGGCCATTCATTATAACAGCAAATCATAAAATACTCAGTTGTCAAATAGTTTTCATTTGCCTTTGTCCATTATTAGAGAATATGTCTTAAACACTGGACTTTAAATAAATGAATGCCTTTTTGTAAGCCACTATAGACTTTGGAGGCACAGTCTGCCTATTAGTGACCTAGTAATGTTTGGGGCTCTCAGTATAGGAGCTGGGACCTCTGTGTCTCTAAAAAAGGATCTTAAGTTTACTTCTTCTGTTACTAGAAAATTGTAGAGTTACAGCTGCCAGATATAGCCAGGGTTTGAGATGGCATCCTCTGCTCCTTGTTTACTGACATATGTCTGCCCCCACCACATAGAGGGCCGGGCCTGTGCAGTGGTCTTCGACTGCAAGTTCATCGAGACATCAGCAGCACTGCATCACAACGTCCAGGCACTGTTTGAGGGTGTCGTGCGCCAGATACGCCTTCGAAGGGACAGCAAAGAGGATAATGCCCGGCGGCAAGCTGGCACTAGGCGACGGGAGAGCCTTGGCAAGAAGGCCAAACGCTTTCTGGGCCGCATTGTAGCTCGAAACAGCCGCAAGATGGCCTTCCGTGCCAAGTCCAAGTCCTGCCATGACCTCTCTGTTCTCTAAGGCCCAATGGGCCTCTCGCTTAGTGGGCCAGTGGATGGGTGGAGGGGCTGGCCCAGCCAACCGCTCTTGATGCCTCAAGGCTGGCCCATGATCTGTGATTCTCAGAACTGTCAGCTGTGTATACCCTGTCCCATGGTCATGGACAGACAGACAGTGCTGACCAGGGAGGCAACTCCAAGAGGCCAGCCAGGCCTGGGCCCATGGAGATGCATGTGCAGGCCCACGTGCATACCAAGTAGCCTGAACCCAGCTCATGGACAGGACTCTGCCTTTCTCCAAGTGGGTGTATGTGCCCTGGAGTGAGGCTGTTCAGTATGGTTGCTGTTTGTTTACATGCAGATTTTTGTAATAAAGACTATTTCCTGACAAGCCAGGGCTGTTGAGTATGTTTCTTTCATGGTGGTTTCAAAAGCATAAAAAGATGCTGAAACTGCTGGGCATTGGTGGCACACGCCTTTAATCCCGGCACTCGGGAGGCAGAGGCAGGCGGATCTCTGTGAGTTCGAGTCCAGCCTGGTCACCAGAGAGAGTGCCAGAATAGGCTCCAATACACAGAGAAACCCTGTCTCGAAAAACAAAAAAAAAAAAAAAAAAAAAAAAAAAAAAGATGCTGAAACTGAAACTGAGAGATAAGAGCTCCCTGCCCACTAGTGTGTGGTCATGATGGCCCTAATGTTTGGCCTGCACAATGGAGGGAACAGGTTGGAAACCTATGGTGGTTAGGGGGAAGGATCAAGAAGCAGGAAACAAAACCCCCTCTCAGCCTATTAACTAGAGCCCTTCCACACTGGGGCCTGGCATTGTGTAGCTGACTGAAGATTCCATTGCCTCTCCATTACATAAAGGGAAACTGAGCCTGGCCCAGGATCTCACAGCCTGGCAAGATTGCAGGCTCAGGCTCTGCAACAATGTTTCTGCCCTGGCTCTAAGGGGTGGAAAATCAGCTAAAGTGAGGACATGAAGGGGAAGACTTCAGAGATGGGAGGTAAGGGGCTGGTGTTTAAGAGCAGGTGTTGAGGGAGGCACACTCAGGCACTGAGGGCTTCTCCACTTCCTGACTGAAGTTACCCTAGAGGGGCTTGGTGATCTGTCCTCTGTGAGTGCCTATGTTAATACATTGACTAGTTCCTCTTTTGCAAGGACAAGTCCCTAGAGCTCTCCCTGTCTGGAATGCAGATTTCACATCGGTGAAGGATGTGTCCCTGTATACCATCATTGCCTACCCAACCGTCCAGGCCCTCCTAGAAGTGGAGCACATGACTCTCCCTATATTATTTTTTAACAGAACCTGGAACCTCATATGTTATAGGCAAGTTCTCTACCACTTAGCTACATCCTCAGCAATTCATTTTCAGACAGGGTCTCTCTAAATTGCCCAGGATGCCCTAGAATTTGACAGTCCTCGTGTCTTGGCCTCCTGCATAGCTGGGATCACCAGGCCCACTCTCCTTCAAGATTCTTTCTCTCTCCCTCCCCACTCCCTCCCTCTGAGTGTGTCTAAGTGTGGCTGTGGCTGTGTATGTATGTACACAGGCTAGTGTGTACTTGGAGGCTAAAGGCAGATGTCAGGTGTCTTCCCCCATCACTTTCACCTTATCCTTTTTACATGGAGTCTCTCACTGAACCTGTAGCTTAGCAATTGGATGGATTAGCTGACCAGCAAGCCTCGGGGATTCCCCTGTCTCCACTTTCCCAGCACTGAGATTACAAGAATGTCACCTGGCTTTTTATATAGGTCCTGGGAATCTGAACTCAGCTCGTCACACTTTATTAACTAAGCCATCTCCACAGCCTCTCCTTCACCCTTCTTGACACAGGTGACAGCATAGGAGTTTACCTGTAAGAGTCTCCACTTATCTACAGTTGCTTTTGTGTGTATGGTTTCAGTTACCCTTGGTTGGCTACAGTCTAAAAATATGAAAAGGAAAATACCAGGAATCAACAATTCATGAATTTTATATTAGATAATGATCTGAGCAATGTGATTAAATCTTAAGCCATCTAGTTCTGTCTCACTCAGGATGTGAGTCAGCCTTTGTCAGGAGTATCCATGTTGTATATGCTAACCACCTATTAGTCACCTTGAAGCCACCTCAGTTATCAAAACAGCTTTCTAGTATAACAGTACTAGTCATCAGATAATCTTTATAGAGTGGTGACATTGGTAATTAATATATGACAAAGAGACGCTATGAAGTGCTTCAGAAAGTGAAAAGGCAAGTATTGGAAGAAATGCAGCATATAGAAGATTTGGAATTGTCCCATGGCCCAGGCATCCACTGGGGGTCTTGGAGTGTGTCCCCCATGGATAAGGAGGACTCCCGAACATGTTTTCAGGAGCTAGCCTTACCAATTGGCTGAGTGGGGCCTGCTATATAGGTCTGTTCATTTCCAAAGCCTGGAGGCAGCCTGGGACAAGGGCCCACATGTTTCTTCATTCCACAGACCCTTGAGAGCCCTTGAGACCTAGTTAGAACCCTGGCTGCAGCTCGCTCAATATCAGAAAGAGGTGTGAAGGTGGCTGCTCAGTGTGTATGTGGAGGAGAACCCCTGAGACTCCCCCCACATCCTCACCCAGGCAGTATTAACTACTCAAAGCTTCTGTTACTTACACACACACAAACTGAGGCATGCGGAAGCTTGCTCTTATCAGGGTAGGAGAAGGTTCCCAAACCTGAAGAGCAACCCAGGCCCTGGGCAAACTGCTTAGCCTCTCTGTACCCCAGTATATGAAAAAGGACAGTTCCCTTTTCATGATGGAGTGGGTGAAATAACAAAGATATATGCTCAGAGACATCCTGGGTGCTGGTCAGCAAGCACTCAATATGTGTGAGGTCCCCTTCAACAACCCCACATACAGCACCAATCCAGACTGGGTGCCTCAGCAACCCCAAAGTAGATAGTCATCTTGTCCTGGCCCAGCTTCCATCCCGAGAAGCCAACCAGATGAACCACGAGAAGTCCTCGGGGGGACCACAAAACACTGAAGGACAGTAAGATGTGGGAGACCAGCATCTTCTTACCCTCTCCCCTCATCTGAGACTCCCAGAGAACAGACCTTCTGCTGGGACTCCTTGGTGGGCCTTATGGAAGGTTGAGGAGGCCCTGGTCAACCCTGGGACCCCCTCAAAGTCACCTGAGCAATCTCAGGCTTCTCTTTTCTGCTTGGAGGCATGAGACAGCGCAGTGTCTCGCCCTTGTCAGTGTTCAGGAGCTAGTGTGGGGCTTGGAGAGCTTCAGGGGACCTCACAGGCTTCTGTTCCCATCTACTGGTCTCACTGATGTATGGTCTAGAGCTCCTAACACCCACTCGGGGTCATCTGCCCTTTAGGTTACATTCCCAGTCCTTAGCACCACAAGCCACTTGGGGCAGGACAAGGTCAGACATCCTGCCCAGAGGGATTCCTGAGCTAATAAATGGGAGACAAGATGGTGCCTACTGTGCTTTAGTAGAGGCATTTCATGATGTGGAGTAGGGGCACTTTCAGTCAGAGGTGGTCCTAATTAGCATAAGACAGTGGTTCTCAACCTGGGTCACAACCCCTTTGTGGGTCAAACCACCATTTCATGGGGGTTGCATATCAGATATTTATATTATTATTCATAACAGTAGCAAAATTTACAGTTATGAAGTAGCAATGAAAATTTTGGGGGGTTTTTGGAGGGGGGTGTCACCACAACTTGAGGAACTATATTTAAGGGTCGAAGCATTAGGAAGGTTGAGGCTTTCCTAGAGAAGGGGCTATTTGTGCTTTTTGCTAAAGCACAGGTAGCTACTTACCACCATGATGAAGGGTGGGACAAGCAGTCCAGGCACAAGGAACAGTATTTGCAGAGATCAAGCTACAGATGCCGCTGCACAGAGAAGTGGGGCCAAGTCTGAAGCCACAAAAAAAGAAGTTGTGTACAAGCCCAGAGGGCCAAGAAGTGCTCATTGGGCTGTGTCAAGGTGGGAGTAACAGACCAAGATCTGCCCACCTCCTAGGGCTGGCAGTCACGGATGCTGAGCAGTCCTAGCTTTCCAAAGTCAATAAGTAACTTGGGGGGGACTAGGCGGAGCCAGGCCTGTTGCTGTGGGCCCAGTGGCATTTTCCATTCCTGAGCAAGAGTGTTCAGACCGCCTACCTGCTTAAGTGTCCCCTTTGCCCTGCCCCACCTAGCCCAGTGTGCCAGAGCTCCCTGAAGAAGGATCCCTCAGCTGGACCAAAGGAGAGGCTTGGGGCATCAGTAGGTGAGGGGCTGGGAACTCTTGGTGTGCAGGGCTGAGGTCTGGAGTAGGGACCCTGCCCTATCCTTCAGATATCTAGGTAAGAATTCTCAGTGATCCATCTTGTAGAGGGCGGTTGATCATGTTATGTATTCTTAGCTACATGCCAAGATGTGCAAAATTTACGGCGAGGACTGAGTTCTGGCCCTAGGGGCAGTCTGCATCTGGAGGGTGGTAGTGGGAAATGGGATAATCTCCAAGGCCTGGACCAGAAGTCCTCTGTTCCAGAATGAATCCTCTTGTGGTCAAGTCCTCCATGACCTTGGCCAGGCCCTGTCATTCAAGCCTTGCCTGAAACATGGAACTGCTGGAAGTGAGAGTTGTCTTTCCAGCATCTCATTTCTGTGATTTGGTGGGCTGCTAAATAATCACCACTTTGGGAGCTGTTGGGGGGTGGGGGCAGGCTATAGCAGGAAGTTGAGGGGCTTGGAGGTGAAAACTTCTATGGTGCTCTTTGTGACAGCAAGGTCCAAGAGGCAGGATGGTTGGACCTGGGGGTCTGACCAAGGAGCAACAGAGACCACAGGCCACTGCAGGGAGGAGACTAGTCATAGTGAGATCCCTCTTGATAGGTGTATAGGATAGAGCCCTTCTTCCTGACTTTCTGAGCTAGATTCTCACGTTCTATGTCCCTCAGGCCAGGCCCACCTTGACCATGAACTCTGCCTGGCTGTGGTGGTTTTGCCTCATTGTTATTCAGGTGAGCCGGGCCCTGCCTCTTCCTTCAGATCTCATCCTTGGGGGTTACCACCCTTGTCCCCAATCCCACCCAGACTCAATGCACTAGCCACAAGAGTAGTGTGGGAGTCGGACTTCAGAGTCAGAGCTATGGGCCTGCTGTGGAAGCAGGAAGCCTAAGACCAGAGGGTAAATGGACTAAGATCTGGTAGGCTGGGGGAAGGGGCAGTAATTCCCTCTTCCTGCCAGTGCCCGTGGAACAAGGTGAGAGTTTCTGACAGGTTTTCAGCGCCGAGGCCCAGTCTGCAGAGCTGCACGTGGAAATCCCTGAAAATTATGGTGGAAATTTCCCTTTTTACATAATCAAGGTGAGCCTGCACACAGGGTGGCTTCCCATCACCCCCGATATCATGCTTCTCCAACCTCTA